AACGACACAGAAAGTCATAGAGTCAAACATAACTTTTAAAAACACCAGTATAAGCTCATAAGGTCCTGATGGTAAAAAACTACATTTCCGCAAAATGACGTCACTTCCGGTTTCGGGCAGGTCATGGCGGACATGCGATAGTTCACGCTGATGGATGTAGGAAGTGTTACAAACAGCTGATCGGATCGGCAAAGCGTGTTTCTGGAATATTATGTTTTTGTTGCTGCAAGTGCTTTTTATGCAGTTTTTGCAAAGCTTTATGTGGAATATGTCTGTGAAGGTTCTCAGTCATCCAGGTCATCGTAGTCAAAGGAGCTTGCAAAGAAAAGCGTCTGGACTTCTTTAAGTTGCTTGAAGACGTTTCACCTCTCATCCGAGAAGCTTCTTCAGTTCTAAGGTCAAATGGTGGAGAGTCCCAGATATAAACCTAGTGGGAGTTTACCCCCCACAGAGGGACAAAAGGACCCCCTGATGATCCTCTAATCGCCTGAGCCAAGGTGTGAAACTGGGTGTGGGTCCCAATCAGCCAGAGTTTCGGGTGTGTTCATTGTGAAACCTGGCCCCACCTTATCATGCGAATTCCTGAGGTCAGATGGCCCAGGATGTGAGTGGGCGTTAAGGCGTCTGGGAAGGGATCTCAAAACTGGATTATAGATGGCAGAGAGTTGGTGTCGTAAACCCCCGCCTCTGTTCAAAGATGGTCGCTCACAGTGGACATAGATGGCTTCTTTCACTCCTCTTTCAAACCATCTGTCCTCTCTGTCCAAAATGTGAACATTTTGTGGAACTATATGTGGAAGGAAACTGTGACCGAGGACAAGCTGATGGCATAAGATGTAAGTACAACTCCTCCGGTTTCATATGCAAAAAAAATTATTGCGCTAGCTTACGTGGTTGCAGTGCTACCGGGATTTAAAAATAGTTACGCAAAACAGAGCGTGCCCGCTCCGACCGGCTTTAAAGGGTTAAAAACAAATCAGTAAATTCACAAATTATGGATACAGACTCTTTTCAGCTATAGAGGTAGAGGTACACCTCATGTACTGATTAACATACAGTTCAAAGACTTGCATTAGTGTGCGCACTTGGGCACCTTTTATTTAGCGTGGTTATAACATTATGGATTTTGCTATATAAATATGCTCAAGAGTCTATCTATCTGTTTGACATACAGCTAAAAACTTGAAAATATACATGTATTTTTAAACCAGTAACTTTCCTTATCAAGAGGAAAGGTTTTTGGACAACAAATGAGTCACGTTTTAAACCAGGTTTGAATAATCAAACAGACATTTATGAAGCGCAGGCTATAACAGACATGCTTACCGTGTGAAAGGACCTTTATGCTGCGCACTGTGACACACAGCAATGGTCCCGGGTCAGCCCTGACTTTGTGTTAAACTAATCCTAAAGTAATAATGTTATTTCTAATCACTGATATACCACAACTTTATCCTTTCAACAGCTAATGAAAGTTAGGGGACCTAGCTTCTATCGGATATTTATATAGAGATCCTCCAGCTTCAAACTGTATCACCCTTCAAGGACCTGAAGCTCCATAAAGCGCCCCTCCGACAGCCAAACCCATCTGTTCTCCGATTGGATAGTTAATTTTGTGATTGACATGACATTGACCAATCAGATGAAAGGAAAAAAATAGGCTCAAAATTCGTAGTTGAGTGCAGAGTTTCACTTGTATTTTTTGGCTAAGTCCACATACAATCTTTTTTACACATACAAATCCTGATTTAAAAGTACAAAAACTGATTTACAAGTACAAAATATTTATGACCACAATTTGAGCCTATAGTCTTTTCTCTGGCTGGCTGGACCCTCAGCTTCCATGCCAGAATCTGCCACACAACTTCGCGCTGGTCCCTGGGGTACGGCAAAACTTGTAAGCCTTAGTCCGGCTCACAAAGAAGATGCTCGAGTTGTTCTTGTGTCTAAAAAAAATAAGTTCTACTATGTTTTATGTTTCATTTTACTCTGGGCTGTGCTGAACAAAGTGAGTCAGCACAATTTAAATTCCAAAAAATTATTGGTTGTTTAAATGACCGGCATCTGACATGGCTAGCCTGTCACCAGGGACCCGGTGGGTGGTAAGAGGTAAAAAAAATACTATACTGTCAACAAACAACTCTTGGTTTGTATTTTTTCAGAATTAATTGTGTTCCATCTTATGCACTTGAGTACACCGATGTTGGATTTTTGCGATGAAATTACACGCACATATAAACAACGGACTCGTTCCCGGTGGGTGATGGGCTCTGCCAGGGCTGCCCTTTGTCACCGGTTCTGTTCATAATTTTTATGGACAGGATTTCTAGGCGCAGCCAAGTGGCGGAGGGCTTTCACTTTGGTGGCCTCAGAATCTCATCTCTGCTTTTTACGGATGATGTGGTTCTGTTGGCTTCATCGGGTGAGGGCCTCCAGCTCGCACTGGAGCGGTTCGCAGCCGAGTGTGAAGCAGCGGGAATGAGGATCAGCACCTCCAAATCTGAGGCCATGGTTCTCAGCCGGAAAAGGGTGGAGTGCCCACTCCGGGTCGGGGATGAGTTCCTGCCCCAAGTGGAGGAGTTCAAGTATCTCGGGGTCTTGTTCGCGAGTGATGGGAGAAGGGAGCCGGAGATCGACAGACGGATTGGGGCTGCGGCTGCAGTAATGCGGACGCTGCACCGGTCCGTCGTGGTGAAGAGGGAGCTGAGTGTAAAAGCGAAGCTCTCAATTTACCGGTCGATCTACGTCCCTACCCTCACCTATGGCCACGAGCTGTGGGTAGTGACCGAAAGAACGAGATCGCGGATACAAGCGGCAGAAATGAGCTTCCTCCGAAGGGTGGCTGGCCTCTCCCTTAGAGATAGGGTGAGAAGTTCGGCCATCCGGGAGGGGCTCAGAGTAGAGCCGCTGCTGCTCCACATCGAAAGGAGCCAGCTGAGGTGGTTCGGGCATCTGACAAGGATGCCCCCTGGGCGCCTCCTGGGTGAGGTGTTCCAGGCATGTCCCACCGGGAGGAGGCCCCGGGGCAGACCCAGGACACGCTGGAGAGATTATATCTCTCGGCTGGCCTGGGAACGCCTTGGTGTTCCCCCGGATAAGCTGGAGGAGGTGGCTGGGGAGAGGGAGGTCTGGGCCTCTTTGCTTAGGCTGCTGCCCCCGCGACCGGCCTCGGATAAAGCGGATGAAGATGGATGGATTAAATTCAAATTCAAATTCAAATTCAAATTTTATTTGTCACACACACACAACCATACACAGTATGACATGGGGGTGAAATGCTTGTAGCTGTACAATGCCCGACCATTAAATGACAGAAGAAAAGTTTTACAATATTTACAATTTACTACAAAAATTTACAAATTAACTTAGGAATTTACAGTAAAGAATGTGCAAATAGCAGAAGAGATTATAAAGATAAGGATTATAAATTATAGGAATTATAGGATTATAGGAAATGTGTGGTGGTGCGTGTGGTGACGTGTGTGAGAGTCCAGTCTTATAGTGACGTGTTTGGGAGAGTCCAGTCCTACACCTGGTTCAGGCCCCGAATAGCCTGGGGGAAGAAGCTCCTCCTCATTCTCTCTGTTTTGGCCTTAAGGGAGCGGAAGCGCTTCCCAGACCTCAACAGTGAGAAGAGTCCATTGTTGGGATGGGAGAGGTCCATCATAATCTTCCTAGCTTTGGACTTGCACCGCTTGGTGTAGATGGACAGCAGGTCAGGGAGCTCTGATTGAATGATGCGTTCTGCCGAGCGCACCACCCTTTGCAGATCTCGTCTGTCCTGCTTGGTGCTGTTCCCAAACCAGGTGCAGATGTTTGACGTCAGGACGCTCTCGATATAAACAGTATGGAGAAGATAACTTGGCATTCGTTAGGGAGGAGCTCATTGAGTGTAAGTATAGAGAGGAGGAATTCCGACCGTGATTTCTCATTCATGTACTCTGCATTGTGCATCGTATTGAGACTGTATATATATGTCCTTGTACCATGATTATTTCTTTTCAGAATAAAGGGCTAAGAAAGAAAATATTTAAGTTGAGTTAAGTGGTAAAAAAAATTCTTCATAGACACTGGAGTTTTTGGAAAACTTTGGAAAGTTGGGATGTTCTTTTTTTTGTTAGATGTTCAGTATAGTAAGCCATGTAAATAATAAATCTTTGATATAATATATATTTTGTCACTACTTATTCTTTTTAAATGAATTGAAAAAATCAATGTGAAGCGTTGTTTGGGAAGCTAAAGAGTGAGCTCTTTTCAGTGGGCTGAGCCATAAGAGAGCTTGAATGATCATCATTACTGCTTCGGTTCACACCAGAGAACTCTGAGTTTATTTAAAAATAATAATATGATAAGTTAACATACATGTCTGTGTTTTCATATATGAGATAACATTTCCTGGGGTGCCAATTTGTTTTTTTTCGGGTTTTTTGTCCAGCTCTAGTGAAGTTCACCTCGACGATTACTACTTAAGAATTAAAACATAGATGTGCAACATGTCAAGACTGATTCTTTCTAAGCCCTAGTTTGGCTCGCAAAGGAGTACATTTACACCAAGTGTCAGATTTTGGCTGACATTTAAATGGATTTATGATAAGGGACTCATTAAATAAAAGCGGAAACATTTAAACACATTGAGGAAGCTCGTCAACAGGAAGCTTCTCAGACAAACAAATTCCTGTAATAAAATTACCCAGTCATGTGGTCTGCCATTCTGTGTATTATCACCTCTTGCAATAGCTGCAGCAGTCACATTTGTGGTTGTGTTTATTTGGTTTAAATGACTGATTAACTGATTAACTTACATTAATGCAGTTATAGCGTTAACATCAATTTAACGAGATTAACGCTGACAGCACTACTTAAAAATAATCAATTTGCACCCTGATGAGACTGAGCTAAAACTTTTCAACGTTTCAGTGTTCTCATAGCGGGTTTGTGATAGGAGAGCACGACTCAGGAGAGGGATAAAAAAAAAGCAAAGAGTTTTTAATTAGGGAAAATATAACAAAACAAAAATTTGATACAGACAAACAAAGAAGAAGTTCATGAGCATGGCAACATTAACTCATAAAGCAAAATACTGGAAAGCTGAGGCACAACAATAATGCAGAAGACAGGAAATGATGACATAAGCTGCTAAAAATACTATATACCTAATGAGAGAATGAGGAAAGTGGAAAAAAATCAATTTTATTTATAAAGTGAAAAATAACAACTACGGTCACCTCAAGGCACCTTACATTGTAAGGTAGACCCTACAATAATAAACAGGTTACTATGTAAGTGGAGGGACAGGTGAGGTGAATCTAGAGAAAGGTGAGTGCATGATGGGAATATAAAAAGCAGACTGACTGAATAAAGAAAGACAGAAAACCAAAAGCATCACAGGTCTGTTTGCTTTAACATTAAAATATCTAAACAGAGAAAAGTCTCATTGTTTCATCAACGACAGCAGTATTATTGTAATTCTTTCTTTTAATACTTTAAGTACATTTTCCTAATTTTAACAATTTCATTCTTCTAAAATTTTTCCTGTTTCCTATTTTATTTTCACTACAGGAGTAGTGTGCCTTCTCCATAAACATTACTTCTGTATCATTAACTGTAAAATTAAAATGAACACAAATACAAATCAGCTTGATGCGTCACACAAAGAGGTGCAGAAACGTCCCACACAACCACAACTACATCATTGCGCACACATACAAAGAGAGGGATGAATGAAATGCAGTACTTAACTCGATAAATCCAATAACAATATTTAAGGAGCTAACCTGAATGCTACAGCTCAAATTAAGTTATGTTATTTTTGAAAGGAGGATAGCATAGAATAGCATAGAGAATCATTCACTTTGGCAAACATGCCACACAGGTCAGTCATGTGGAGCAGCATAACATGTGATGGAAAAGTCCTGTTTGCTCTCATCGCTCTTCAACTGCTGTACAAGTATTTTTGCAACATCTACCACACAGAAAAGCACACTGCTCCATCTGCTGGCTGTTTAATGACTTTTCACCAAAACCCTTCAGGCAGGGAACAACTCTCATGAAACCATCCTGCCTAAAGAAGTGAAGAAAAAAAGAAAGTAATGCTCATTTTTTAAATGAGCATTTTTGGGGGGGTCCCATTTAAGCCATACTATGATCTCTGAGTGATTTAGTCAGCCTTTCATAAACATACATGAACGCTCTAATCAAATTCAGAGCACTCAAATTCAGTCGCACTGCATTACATCACAGTATTTGTTGAAATGTTACATGGTGCCTGATATTGTGTAATCCTTTGCTTTCTTAAAGACATTTGCTGCAAAAAAATATACAAAAATATACAACATCTGTTTAGTAATTCATTAGGATGCATAAGTACAGTTTTTGAGAAGGAAAATTTCCTGCAGTCCCAGAGTGCAGCTTAATGGCCGTTTTCCCAACACTCAAACCTATATCATTTGGCTCTGATAGAAAATAAATCTACCTAAATCAGTCAACATCATGTAGAAAGCTCTGTGTCTTCATGCTTCCTCTTTACACACTGAATGAAGAGCTGAAGCAGATGGCACTGAAATCCAAAAAGTGACATCAAATATGGATATGAAGAGCTTTTTAACTCTTCAAAACAAACAACACATTGTCACATTGACTTAACTCAACATTAAAACAAAACAAAAGAAGAAATGAAACAACAGATAAGACAATAATAAAGAATGAATGCTTTTCTTGAGTTTTTCCCCCTTTCTAGTAACCCAACGCTGAAAGGATTTTAATTTTTTTTTCACTTATCCAGTTTTAATGGCTAAAAATACATTTTTAAGAAAGTATTAAAGATAACATTACTGAGCACTTCCCGTTTTCAGCAGTCAGAGCCAAAGTCTGTACATGCCATGTAAATTACATTATATTTATGTTATAGTAACAAAGACAACACTGGACCATATGATAAAATATGTTAAATACTTAAATAAGATGACTTCACCAACAATTGAACATAATGGATAGTCATTTTTTATTGATTAAACCAAAACATTGCAATATGCAAAAACCCCCAAACAAAACCCTTTTTGGAATGGATGAATGGACCGGTGGCGAACAGATAAAAATAGTCTAACCTTTAACTATTTTTCACATAGATTCACATTGAATTTTTCTGTTTCTGGTTTCCTGTTTTCTCGACAGTTCAGAAGCCCAGACTATGTAAGTTCTTAGTTTTCCAAAAATAAACTGTTAAATTGTTTCTGGTGTCTGAGTCGTGCATTTGGGTTCATATTTACTGGGATTATGACAGAGTGATCTGCCCAAACATTAGCTGTACACACAGCTGTTACACATCAGTGTTGTGAAGTACTAGCAGAGTCACAGGTTGTTAGTTGAGCACTGATGGCCAGACCAGCTGAACAGTTACCGTATACACAAACACTGAAATGCACTTCTGCACTGAAACTGACCCAAGCATTGCCTGAGCACAAATCCAATGATTACCAAAACCAGTTCATTGTAGAGTTTAAAAAGGTTTTTGATTTTGCTCTCTAAGAGGGTGAGGCTGCTAAATGCCTCTTTAATTCACAGCAGCTTAGTGGAATTTTAATTTGAATGCCATGTTCAGGTAGTGGGGAACAAAAGGTTTTGCACTGAACATTTTTGCATTATGCTGTAACTACCCTGGCAGTGAAAACTGATAACTATACATGGAAAGGCCAGAGAAAGACACTCCTATTGCGTGCATTTCCATTTCCTCTTTGCCTTTCCAACTCTCCAGGAGAACATTTAGATTACCCGATGCAGATCGGCAGTGTTAAACTTACCCTGGAGAAGCCAAAAGAAAATGCCCACCAGCATGAATGGGAATACTGGTTTGTGGTTCCAGTGCTGCATTTTAGACATCTGGGAACTCAGATGTTGGAACTTGGACTGATGTGTATCTGGAGTGATGCAGCATAACACTTCTAAAAAACACGTTAACGGATAGAGCCTGATCAATGCTCTGCGTATGGCTTATTTAGTGAGACAAAATACAGAACAATGGTAGTTCAGATTCAAAGTTTACAGTTTTAATTCTGTTTAGATTCAGTGCTGCCATCTTGACCTGTTAGTTCAGGGGGCGTGCCACAAAAACAATTTGGAAGCAGAACTTCAGAAATGCAACTGACAAAATCAAACAACAGCTCACACAGCGTAGCAGCATGCAAATACTTTAGGAACATAATAACTTAAAATATACTTTAAAAAAAAGCGACAGTATGTTGAGGTTTTAAGTTTTAGTTTTGCAGAGCAGCATCTGTTGTTGTGTAAAACTAGTTCTTTTTTTGGAGTGCTGCAATTTCTCACTTACTCATTTAGTCACATTTGCCATGAACACAGTTAATCATCTGAAAACAGCCGTGTAAAGTTAGCATGGAAAATAGGACATAAAAAAGCCATGGAATGGGATTTTAGTTGTTTTACTTCACTGAACTGTAGGCAGTGAAAATGACACATTTACAGGCACCTTGTGTGTATTTATATGTTAATTTAAAATTATTTCACAACAGTTCTCATTTTTTCTGCACCTCAGCGTAGAGTTCCTCTTGGCCGTGAGCCCTTTGTTTTAAGCTTTTTTCTCGCTTTTTGATCTGTGCGTACACTGTATGCTGCTGCTGTCCACTGTCCCGCACTGAGTTAGACGATGCTTCATATGCCAGTGTGGAGAAGCTGATCTCTCCATAATGGATGTTTTCTTCCTCTTCTTCCTTTTTACTTGCTGGTTCATCAACCTTCTGCTCTTCATTTATTTGAATCTATAGAGTTAAAAAACAGAAAGCTCGGTGAATTAGGTTCATTCTTATTCATGTTTTATTAAATAAATAGACTGCTCTGATGAAGTTACTGCTGTAATCGCCAAAACATTCAAGTAACCCTGCAGCTAGAATTTTTTTTTTCTTTGTAATTTCCTTACCAGAATCTGTTGTTGAGTTTGTTGCTTTGACTTTAACGACCTGGAAGACACAAGAGGCAGTAAAAAATTATCTCTGTGTATGTTAAATATATGTGAACAAAGTTAAGCTTGAAACAGAAATTTTTAATGTGTAGCTAAAATATCTGTGAGAGTAGCTAATTGTGTTTTTCTGCTTTGATGTGTGATACTTACCAAACAAAGATGATCAAGCAGAGGAGAATTATAAGTAAGAGAACAATGATCCCAATGATTACTCCAGGAAGTAGCCACAGTGTGTCTCCTAAAGAAAAACAAAGGTGAAGTTATTTTTAAAGTTTGGAGTTTGAATGGATAAAAAGAAACAGGAGCATGTAACACATGAGTGGCTTTTACCTCCAACAGTCACATTAATCTCTGCTGATGTCTGATTACCCAGATCATTAGTGGCCACACAGTAATAAACTCCTCCATCTGTTACATTGAAGCTGTAAATCTCTCCTTCAGATACT